AAAAATTGTCTAGAATGACACAGTGAACCAACTTGCCTATCAGAAGACCTCCATGTCAGTGGAAAACCTTAGCTTGAAATGTTATCTTGTTTATGTCGTTAGAATTACATAAACAGGATGAAACTTTGCATTTACTTATAAACACAAATTTAATCACTCTTCGTTAGTTGGTATTATTCGCCATGACACAAATCAGGATATAAAATTGTTTGAATTTGTCGACTTATATAATCTAGCAGAATTCCTAGACTCACTTCTATATAATCTTTTTTTTTCTGCGACTGCTATCTTCTTCTGTGTTCCGCGTCTCTTCAGGACATAGGGAATCATGACTCACCGCAACTTCCTATCCCGTGTAGGCCATCGCAGTTTTTCTTTTGCTAGGGCTTCCGCCTTGCATTCCGCCCCAAGCTTGTCAAGTATATGGCTCGCTGCCTTTCCCTATCTCTTTTGTTCTCAATATGCCTCGTGAGGTTTCAATTTTCCAAGCTCTTCTTCCTCATTATATGCCCAAGGAATTTCAACTGCCTTTTTCCTGATTCTGAGTACAAGTGTTCTTTCTGCTGCCATTTTATTTAAGACTTCCTTGTTGCTTACTCTCTCCGTCCATGGAATCCTCAGTATCCTTCTGTAGAATCACATTTCTGCTACTAGTTTTCTCCCTATTTGTAGGGAGATTGTCCAGCATTCACTATTATATAAAAGGATGGATAACATATAGCAATTTAGCGCACTGTTTCTAACAATTTTTTTCCATTTTTTAGCACTTTAGCTTTTGGAATGTTTCTTTCGCTAGTTCAAAGTCTATACGTATCTTGGTATCGCATTTTTCTTTTTTTGTTAAAACACTTCCCAGAAAATTAAACTTCTGCATCTGCTTGATGTTGACATCTGCAATTTGTAACTAGCATCTTAAGCTTTTTCTCTTGCTGATAACTATACTTTCTGTCTTCTTGCAGTTGATGGTTAGTCCTTTTTCCTCGCTTTCTTCTACTTACACTGTCCAGGAGATCCTGTAGTTTTCTTTCCGAATCAGCCATCAACACAGACACTTCATATATTATATTAAAATTACACACACCAATAATAAATCTTGGTAGGATTTCCAGTTCTTATAGGTTAGTGCCGCTGTAGAGATTGAATATGGAGAGAAGACCCATTCTTGTGTCACGCCTCTTTCTATCTTTGTGTAACAACTCCATTTTTCATCTGTGAGCAGCGCATGCAATAGGATTTCATTTATTAATTATTTTATGATGGGGATCTTTCACTTATTTGCAATGTCTCGTTGTACCAGCATCCCAAATATAACTAATTGTATTAATTAATTATTATTATTATTATTACATAATAGATAATTTATTAGGTAGGGTCATGAAACATAAAACATGCCACATCTTATGTACTCTAGGTATTTACTTCTTTAAATATAATCCAATATAATGTCATAATATATGCATTATAATCTAACAATATATATGAAAATTATATTTTAATTACATGGACAGGGATGCAGAAAATGATAAAATCACATTGTAAAAACATGCAATTTTCCATACATGATAAAACACTGAAATATCATTTAAAGGAAATGGATTATATCGTCTTTTATCAGCCGAAATTCATAAACGTTGAATATTGATCTGAAATTTTCACTGTATAATATTCGGTTTATATGTTTAAGCCATTATTTGCATCAGAAGCAGCAGAGTTTAGTTTTGTAGATGAGGTAATAACTTTTAATTTTTAAGTCGTAAGATATTTTTTTAAATTTTTTGTCTTTTAAATCTTGTTAGAGAAAATATTTTAGAGGGAAAAAATTTAAAAAAAAAAATTAAAAATATTTATTTAGAAGAATCCAAGGTATCATAAGGCATAATCCAATATTGCACTCTTTATATATATGATATGTCCCTGGTCAGTCCAAGCTTATCTGATCAATTTCCAAAAAAATATTCGTAAAGCTTCATCAGTAAGAGTAACTTTCACTATTTTGAATGAGAAAAATTATCCTTCTTGGCACAGTTGGAGGAAGGAGTACCGATTTCATGCCCTAACTTACAGATCTGAATATCCATTAATCACAATAATACGAAAATTTTGTCATTCGCATTGAGTTACAGTTGTATAAGTATGACTAATGAAAATTTCCATCATTCGCAATTGAGTCAGAGAACTGCAATGATTGAAATTTCTGTCTTCCATAGTCAATGGGTCAATGGAGAAGCGTTTGATTATGAGCACTAGCAATGAGGCAGATTATGAGATTATGTTGAAAAATAAATTCATCCTCTTCTATGTGTTAGGGCGTTGCCGATCATGGCTCTCCACAATTTCCTGTTTCTTGTAACTCTTAATAATCTTTGTCTTTTTGCCATCTCTCCCAATCCCTCCTCCAAAATCCATTCACTGAAGCTCATCAGCTCGACTGGGCGTTGCTTTCTTCTGTCTTCAATCTGTCCTGTGAGTATCAAATTTTACAAGCCTCTTCCTTATTATTTGCCCACTCCTTTCCTGATGTTAAATATAAGTGTCCTTTTTGTTTCCATTGCCTCTAGACGTTGCTCACTTGTTTGGTCCATGGTATTCTCAGCAATTTGTCGTGTAAAATAATGTTTTATTTATTAGAATATGGACTTATTGATATATTTACGTATATTTTGGGTCGTTTTCGTTAAACCCTGTTAATTATTTTCTCCGGAGTGATAAAAAAATTAGAATAAAAAATGAAAATCTACTAATTGTTGGATTTTGTTTTTTTTTTGTTTTTTTTAACAAATTCATCATGATTCAAAACTAGAAATATTTTATCTATATCTATAAAAGGCAGGATGTGTGTGTGTGTGTGTGTGTGTGTGTGTGTGTGTGTGTGTGTGTGTGTGTGTAACGAATGCACGGCCGCAATTTTCGACGGATTTGCACCAAAATTTATATGCACATGCTCCAAGTTAGCTGGAAGGCCAAGACCGACTTTGCATTTCCCAACTCCCATCGATAGTGGAAATAATCGATTTTCCATGCTTCTACGGCAGTTTTCATGTAGTTTGCGGCCATTTTCTACTGGCCAGAGTGAGAGCCAAATAGCTGGCTGTCACGAATAGGCAGGAAGATTCTATTGGCCAGCGTAAGAGCCAACAGCTGACTGACACAAATGTTAACTAGTATAATTACATGCAAAAAAAACAAAATCGATAGCTGCATTGGTCACAAGTGGGAAAAATTTAAATCTGTATGGCACTTTACTCCAATTGGCTCATTCGCTTGCTTAAACTCAACGTTGATTCTGATTCCGCAGAACTGGGTTGGGTGTGAAAAAGTATTTGTTCTTAACATTCTTTTTTCATTCGGTTTTTCCAGTTATAAGTCCTTTTTAAAGCTGATCGTTTTGTATTCATTTTGTTTAGTTCTTTTTTCGTAACAGATTTAATGTTTAGTATAGAGCTTAGAAAAATTCGCAGTGTGAGATAGGCAAGAAGTAAGGCATGTAGCAACATCAGCACGGCAAAGGGCAATCCTTTAATGGCAAGGAAGGGCAAAAATATTTTAAGTCAAGTGATAGCGATTGCTGTATGAGTCGTACGATTTTTGAATCAAGCACGGATAACGCCGGGCCATGCTGCTTGTTTATTTTTAATATCTTTTACTTTATTCATATTGGCATATTTCCAAAATACTAAAACTCAGTTTTATTTAAAGTTCATATCTGTAGGAATTAATTCTTTCTTTTCTTATTCTATTTAGACGGGAGATAAAAATAATTTCTGTTGAAACAAATGGCTTCAAGAAATTAGTACTTTCACAGTCTTGTGTTTTTTGGGATCCATAAATGTATACAAACATTAACATACATTATTTGAATTTTTAAAACACAAATTAGAATTTTAGAGAATTTTTTAAATGGTAGATTGTAAAGAAAAAATTAGAAGGCTCGTGATAAATGACACTTATTTTGTTGATCGATTTTAATACAGGAAGTGTCACTTAACGTGTGCGTAAAAATTATCTATGGTGATTTTTTGAATTAAAGAAGGTATTGCTGGTTTTGCAATAAATAAAACTACTTGATTTCTATCACTTTTCGAATCTCTTCATTTAAAATGCCACAAATTTCAGCAGTTTTTTTGAGAAGACAACATTCTTGCAAATATAATTTGTAAAATTAGTGGGAAAAATTAACTTAATTGTTTGAATCTGAAATTTAAAATTCGAGGCTAACTCGTAAGTCTATCTGGAAATGCAATCAAATTTAAAATTGTTTTACTTCTCGCATACGTATTTATCTGAACGCCCACACCAACGGAATTGGACACATAGCCAAGTTTAAAGTCGGAGTCACTTGTATACATTGAACTAGGGACAAAAATGGCTCAATTTCTTCTTTGGGGTCGCTCCTAATGCCAAGTATTAATCATTTCCCATTCCTATTGGACAGGTAATGCTTAGGAGGGAACAGCCCCTAGCTTTTTTTATACTTCCTTTAACCCTGATGGGATTTCAGTTTGGTGAGGAAAGTATACTTTTCGTATAATTAATTTTGGTAAGATTTTCTTATGTTCCTTTGAGAAAAGTAAAAATTTTTCATGGCGCTTGATTTTCGTGATCCTCATTTAATCTTTTAAATTATTTTAATTTTAATTATTTAATTATTTAATGCGTGATAATACTTGGGTGAATTAACAGATTACTTTTTTTAAATTGGCTATATCAACGAGAAAGTTGTTACTAAATATTTAGTTTCAAAATAATGACCAGAAAGGGAATCACACGTGTGTGGGCAAATCAGTAAAAATAGAATCGTAACAAACTATTTGCTTCAGTCTATCATTGTTTACGAAAATTGATTTTTATAGATATTTCAAGCCCACGGTTGTAGTAACTTTTTTTTTAATGTAGATTTTATTGTTTGGTTTGATATGGGGCGATTACAAAACCTGTCTTATTTGATTATTAACAATGATCATTAACCCATTCCGTAGAAATACGCCATCTATTGCTTTACAATGACACCCTCATTTCACTTTCTTTCTTTCTTTCTTTCTTTCTTTCTTTCTTTCTTTCTTTCTTTCTGTCTATATTTATTTCGAACGAAATTAGTCTGAAATAGTAACACTCATAGTGTATCTGATGACTTCACATTTTATTATCACTAGCCTGTGAATCCAGTAGGTTAACCACTATTCTTTTAAGTGTAGCATTTCCTCGCGTAATATTTTGACTTTGACTAAATGGAGAATTTGTAATGCATTTCAAACGAGTGCAATTTCATTATAGTGATATCATACATGTCAAGTACAAGTTAAAAATAATCAATAAAATCGTGTTCAGACTGGGATCCCCATTTGGGTTATTCCTCCTTGAAGAATCTACGTGTAAGTAGTACAACTATTCTCCACAGCAACATTGACAGTGACTAAATCAGGTTTTCACAATAGTCGTTTGGTGACTTTTATTTATTGTGGGGACAAATAACCATGTGAAGGAGCGATACGAATTATGCTTCAATTTTCTTCGTTTAACATTTTAAATGAGTAATCATTGAAAAGAGAATTGGGTTACTTTTCGAAACTATTTTTCTATCTTATTGTATGTGAAGAGAAAAATGATTTGAATGACATCTACTTTGGAATGTAGAAAGTTTAAACTATTTTCATTTAACTTTTCTTTTTCAGTTATGAAATGCGAAGTCAGCATTTGAATCAGATGCGAAGTGAAAAGGGTGAAAGAAGGAATTATTTATTTGAAAGGACGCACTTATAAGTGTAGGTATATATGATGTTTATGCTAGAATCTTCGACGACCAGACTTACTGTCGAATTTTTCTTCTATCTTGGCTTTAACATTGATTGGTAGGTATCCGGAGTTGAAGTCTCAAACGGTATGTCATCAGGAATACACCAGTTTACTCAGATAAAGCTAAGTACAAGGCCATATTGATAGAGCATTCACTCTGCACATGAAATTAACAGCATTTCTTTTTTTTTTTTTTTTTTGCTTTTACTATATGCAGGAAATCTGGTGGTGCAATGCAGAATTCTGTTCGTGGAATTATAATCACGAAACGTTTATAGTTATACGTTGTCATATTTCCGAAAGTATTCAACCGACATGTTTATAATGGTAATTGTATCATTACGATCAAAGTTAGAATTTGGAATATTAATTGTCGTAATGAAATCCGCCGAACTTTCGTTCAGGGAGGTTGACTGGTCTTTAGATGGATTTATTTTTTGGCTCGGACATACCCACAAAAAGGCGCACATTCAATTCCTGTGGGTGAATTTAAATTTCAATTGTCGTAATGAAATCCAACTTTCTTTACTGGTCTCAAATTTTCACTTATTTATTAGTTAAATTTTGATCCAAATTTTTCACTGTATCATGTTCGATCTATGTGATTAACAAAACAAAAATAGTTTAAGTAAATTGTCAAAGAAGGAGATTATGTTAAAAATTTTATAATTACGCCACAGACTTATTCATTTTTATATGTAAATAAGACAAACCATAACCCTTTAGTATTTATAAGCTCTAAAAATCTCATATTACTTTTGGTTTGGTTCTACTAAGCTGTAAAAATACATAATTCAGTTATTGTTTTCGCTAAATAAAACAATTTGAAAGAAGCAGAAGTCAACGTAAAATTCAACCTTTTTGCTTACCTTGATAGCCTATTCAAAAAACTTTATCTTGCCAGAGCGTATGACATTTACTTCATACTGTAGACATAGGTTCAAATTGGAGAGGCCTAGAATCCGGGAGAATTATTATTTCTATAGAATGTCGAACTATGCAGTTAACAAATATTAGACTATATTTTACATAAATTTTGTCTGAAATGATGAGTCATCACCATTATTATTCTGCTTTTTTGTATGTATGACTTTTATGCTTTCCATACAGGATCAGAGTGTAGTATTTATCCGATTCCCAGTCGTAGCAAAAAAACTACATAATATGAACCAAAGAAGAATTGGGAAAGCGAAGTAGAGGAGGAGAGGGAAAAGGGTAATAAGGAGAAAATGTTGGAGGAAAGCTAAAAGAAAATATATATAAAGAGAGAGAGAGAGAGGTGGGAGGGTAAAGAATGATGAAGAAAGTGAGGCATAGAGATAGAAGCTTACAAGTGTATAACAAGAGACAGTGAGCGAAAGACTGAAAGACATGTAGTGATGGAAAAGCATAAAAATAGTGATACATTAAAACATTCTATGTCGCGCGCGAGAGAGAGTGAGTGAAAGAGACCCCCCCCCAAAAAAAAAGAAGATCAAGATCGATATGCACTTCAGGAATGTCGGAGGGCAAGCGGCAGAAACGTTGGGATAACAACAACAAAGATAAGAACAATATTTTGAATTAAAATAATGATAACTCCTCATACCAGAAATTCAGTCAGAAAAAAAATAAAAATAATTGTTCTTTTCTTATTCTTTCTTCACATATGAAACTAATGAAGGTTTGTATAACGTTTAGATAAAAACGCATAAAAGCAACAAGAATTGGAAGGAATAAGGAGATAATGGGAAGATACAGACAAATGACAAAAGAAGAACAGAGACATAAGATAATGGATAAGGTTAATTGGCAAAACCTGTGGGATTTCCAAAAGTCGAACTAGTTCCACTAATCTTCTCATCTTTAAAGTTCCAGATTTGGGCATCAGCAATCCCTGCAATTTGCAATAGTAAATAACAAAATATTGTTACCACTAGCAGGAATCTCTATAAGTCTTTTGTAGAAAACCAGCATAGCGATAAAACCAACAAATATGAGAATATTAATCCAAACAGCTCTTGGAATAATATTCTATATATTGCAGAGGTAAAAAGATAAAACAAACATGCCAACGTATAATAGCTAATCTGACATATGGTTCTATGATGTTAATTCAGATTTAGGCCTCGTCAAAGATAAGGCTACAATAGGAATCCGACTGTCAAGTTCAGGTGATATCGATAAGATTTGCCAGCAAAGATAAAATATTTTCAATATTTTTTCTTTTGGTAATTATATTATTGTAGGGAAATTTTGCAAGACATCATATTCCATAATTCGACCAATAACATTTCTTAATAATATATCGTCACATACAGAAACATGATTCCTTTTTGGTGAATAAATATAAAATTTACAGGGTTATAAATGGCAATGAGACTTCTGGAAAACCATGTATATATCACGATGTGTAAGAAAAAAGTAATTATAAGTATATAAATAATAAATAATAAATGCCTTTATTTCGAAATAGATGAACTTACAAGATAAACATACAACTTAGCTGGACTGTTCATGTTAATCAAGGAAGCATTTTTAGTTTTTATACTGAACTGCTTTTATTTGTCTTTCTTGTTAAAATACTAACACTTTGTATGTTCTGTCACGTAAAACATTTCTTTATCATTTATAAAATATATCTCCTTGAAAATTGTTATTCATAACACATAAAATGCAAAACGATGTCTAAAAAACATTGCAAATGTGAACCATCTAACAGAGGTAATTAGAACTTTTAAGGATGCGCTTGTGAACATATTTCCTTAAATTTGGCACATTGTACAAAATATAAATTTATTTTCAAAATTTGACTTGTTTTCATCATTTGTTAGATGATGGTAATGATAATATTTATTGAAGTTCTTCAAGCTTGGTCTACATAGGAAAATCAATATGTCCGTGTTCTAATGATAAGAAAAAAAGATTTCGTTTGCACAACGAATTTTCAGCATAATTTCCATCAGTTATAGGTTCTACTTTTTCTTTGTGTCGTGTCTCTTCAGGACGTTGGCGGTCATGGCTCCACAATTTCCTCTCATTTGTAGCTCTTAGTAAATTTTATCTTTTTGCTATCTCTCATAATACTTGTTCTGTCAACCATTTATACAAGCTCGTTGGTAGGTTATGCGTAATTTTTCTCTGTTCCTCTTGCCTTCAATCTATCTTGTGAGGATCAAAGTATAGATGTATTACCTTGTTTCATACACCATAATATAGTTTTTATTATGAGTACATATTTACTCTGCGAATAAAACTGATATCTACATTTCTCTCAATTGTATATATATATATATATATATATATATATATATATATATATATATTCTATATTTGTTTAAACGTTATTTTTAAATGAATACTCATATTTGAGTAGATGCTCTGTTTTATTTATTTATTAAAACATCATATTTATTTACAGCTACCGGCCTGAATATTCGAGATATGTGCCTTCCGACAGAATTCGAACATGCGTCCTCTAGGGTTGACGGTCATTATATCTAAAGTACCTTAGACTACTCGGCCACGTAGGACCACCTGACCAAACAAAGCATGAACATTGCTTTTGGGCACATATATTTCCGAATTATCGAAATATACATATCTGCTCTGTTTCGTATCCTAACATAACCAAAGACAATTTTTTAGGAAATTAATGAAAAAATATACTTTATTCCATTTCCTAATATATATATATATATATATATATATATATATATATATATATATATATATATATATATATATATATATAAAAAAGAAATATGTTGTAGTGGTTCCAACGAGAGAAAAGTATGTATATTAAAAAGAAGAGGGGTGCCGAAACGTTTTTTTTTTGTAATGTGGATTTATTGAGAAAAAATATTATACTTTGTTTTACATAATTTCAGAACGTGTTTCTGGTCTGGTCTCGAGAATCTTCAGGTGAAATTGAACATATTAAAAATAATTAATTTTTTTTCATAATCAATGTGGAATATTCTCGATATGAGAAGACTGTTTGTGAGACCAGAATCCAGAAACACGTTCGTGAAATTGTAAAAAAAAGTATAATATTTTTTCTCAATAAATCCACATTACAACCAAAAAACGTTTGGCAAAACCCTCTTCTTTTTTAATATATATATATATATATATATATATATATATATATATATATATATATATATATATATGATTATTACAAGTATAAAACTTGTCAGTTAGCTAAATGGTGTTATATTCAGCACCCCGATCCCAGAGTTGCGTAGATGAAACTTTACCCAATCGTTTGGTCCACTCGTCAGGAGGTTTCAGTACACTTGCTTCCGATTAGAGAAAGTAAACGAGCGAAGGAAAATATATGAAATTTCATTGATGAACGAATAGCAGGTGATTTAGTAGCAGGAAACCGAATAACTTAAAAAGTAGTTTGGTTTAGATGAAGTTACTTACCAGTTGAAAGCTAAGATTGGTCACATCTGATAAAGTTATAGAGATTTATTTATTTTTACTTACCAAAGCTTTTTCAAGTGTCTTCAAATCATGTCAGTAAAGACATCTTTGCAGTTAAATTACTTGCTCTGTTGTACCCCCAAATAACCTAAAAGAATTAAAAGACTGCCACGAAGAAAAAGATTGTCTAGCATCTTTCAGGATGAATTGGGAAGTAAAGCTTATCACACAACACCGACCGGTGGCACATACATTGAGTTAGATACGCTATCGACAACTTGCAGCCATCGAACAGTTTACAAGTACCTTCAAGTGAAGAAACTTCTGAGAATTATTAAGTGTTTTCTTTCTCTCGGATGAATTTGGGATTAAGTGGTTCACTGATGACGTATCCCGAATAGAAACTTCGTCTGCTCTTCTTGTGGCAAACCATTTATTACATTATATTGAAGAGTTCACAAGTACAAAACATTTCGTTTTCTTGTCGAATGGATACAAAACATTAATTCCTTCGTTCATTCATCTTTTTAAATCAATCATGTTTTAATAATTTTTCCATTTTCACCTTCATTCGTCACTTCTTCATTCATTTCTTATTCATTTTCCTTTCCTTTTTAACCTGTCCTTTTTAATCTTTTTTTTTTTTTTTTTGATTATTCTTTTTTCCTTTTGTTATGTAAATCAGTAATTTGTTTTTCCTTTTTGTTTTAAAGTTGTACTTTTTTTTTTGTTTTCTCGTGCTCCTTTTTCTTTTTTCTTCTTTCATCACTTTTTTTTTTTTTTTTTGCTATACATCTTGGTTTCATATCTTGTTTACTTCTCGCTTTGCTTCCTTTTTTCTTTATTTCTATTTGTTTTCCTTTTTTCTTTTCTTCATTTATTCATTTGTTGACGCAGTCATTCTTGTATTTATTTCCTTTTTCTATTTCATCTTTATTCATTTCCTGTCACCCAGCAGTTTTCACTATTTTAATTTTCTTTCTTTCTTTCTTTCTTTCTTTCTTTCTTTCTTTCTTTCTTTCTTTCTTTCTTTCTTTCTTTTCGCTTAGTTTGTTTAATTCTTTTTGTAAAAATTTCTTTTTATTTATTATTTGTTTTCTATTCTCTTTCTTTCAATCCTTTCCTCTTTTTCCTCTATTAACCATCTTCATTTCCTGGGACATTCATTCATTCATTCATTCATTCATTCATTCATTCAACTGCAGTCAACTCATCTATCCTTCACATATCAGTCTCACTTTCATTCTTGATTTCATTCCGTTCTTTTGCTTCCAACCACTGTTAGCGTCTTTCTATTTTTGTTTCTCTAACCTTCATTCTATCTACACCTTCTCCTCTCGTCAGTCTCTTTCATTTTTACCGATCGAAAATGTTCGTCATCGAAGAAAACCTCCAACTACTACTCACCGCAGCCATCACTACCACGATCAGCACCATTTTAAGCAGCAACAGCGGTAACCCAAACAGTCATCATTTATATATGCAAGATAACGGCAGACCTCAAGTGCTTTTAAGTTTGCCCCGCCCCAACGTCAAATCCATTACAATCAACAAATAGTTGTTAAATTAAAGATAAATAATAATTTTATGCATCTATGCATGTACATCGTCATCAAAATGCTCATCGACAAGAATCAAGGAGTATGTGTTGATGTTCACTTGGTAAAACATTTAGTTTTTAATTATTTGTGTTAATATGGGTGTTACAATGGTCCTAGTAAGGGTTTGAACCCGCGATCAAACCACTATCCAGACAACTTGTGGTGTTAGTTTATTCGCGTTGTGTGTTTGTAAAATCCACGATGATACCTTGGGTATCGAAATCAACGTCACCAATGCAATCATTATCATCGCGATTACTAGCGCAATGAACAATTTTAAGATGCATCGTAACACACGCGCGTGCGCGCGCACACACACACACACAAGGTCTCGTGTATGATTCTAATATGAGTGTCTGCTGCATTATATTATACATATACAAACTTCATAAGAGCGCCAATCATGCACCACCGTTGGCGGAGGTAGGCGGAGGTATCATCAGCAGGAGTCAACGTATAATTTGATGTACTTTAGTTCCTTCCCTCATTTTCATATGATTAAACTCTTATTCGATCCATTTCCGCTTATATCATTTACCTTTCCTTTTTCCCTTATATTTGCTATCTAATTTTTATATTGCTCTCCCCCTCTCTCTCTCTCTCTTTTTTTCTTTCTCTGCTTTTCCGCCCTCTCTTTCTCAATTTCTTCCTTAACTTTCACTTTCTCTCGAATTGTTTCTCTACTTTTAAGCGGATTTTATATTTGTCAATTCTTCATCTTTCTCTCTCTGCAACCACTCCATTTTTTTGCATGGTCAGTTTATAGAATTTTTTCCCTTTCTCTCTCTCTCTCTCTCTTCTTAATGTGTCACTTCTCGTTTCTCTCTCACCTGTTTTTTCTGTTCTGTTTTTTTCTCTCCTAAATTTCATTTCTTTTTTTTTCTTTTTCTCTCCCTCACCCTTTCACCAACATTTAATACTGGTTTTACTTCTATGTATATCACCCACACCTTCACACCCCTTCTTTTTTGATTCAGTTATTCTAGTCTTTTTCAAGGCTCTCTCAGTCCGCTCCCTTTCTTCATTCGTTCACATCTCTTACTCTCTTTCCCCGTATATCATTCACAAACAATCTGTCCCACTCCCTTTCTTCTTAGGTACTAAATTCACATACTCACCCCGAATCAACCAGCCAACCAAACTGCACGTTCTTACGATCAGTATAATTTCAGGAGGAAAGAAAACGATCGGTGCTCACTAACACAACAGCATTATAACCGAGTGAAAGACGAGATTGAGACTGTGACCGGATTACAAGTTCCGGAAAAATATACCTTTTAACCAGCGCACACGCGCATTCAGACATACTAACTAAACATATATAGAAAAATATATATTGCTACAATTGTATACATACATACATGTACATGTATGTAAGATTTGTAGAGAAATTTCTTCGCCAAAAGCTCATAAACCAATCTAAATATTGGTTGAAAAAAAACGTGATCTAAAATTATTTAAAAATCAAGGGAACTATTCTTCTATTTTTTGGTTAAAAAAATTTAGCAATTTGGGAATTCACTCAAAGACCTTGAAAAAATAAGTGTCATTTTTATTAGCTCAGCACAGACTTTACGGAAACAAAATGCATTCACTTTTTGGAATTGCTTTTATATTTGCAGGTAAGAAAATATATTTTCTTTTCTTTTCTTTTCTTTTCTTTTCTTTTCCTTTCTTTCTTTCTTTCTTTCTTTCTTTCTTTCTTTCTTAACATCTGTCCTTTCCCTTTTTCTTCACAACCAGCAATTAGAATTAAAAAAAAAATAGAAAAAATACATAGCGAATTCATTTTTCAGTTTCAGTCTTCCTTCTTTTTAATGAAATAATATTTAAAATTATATGCTAATTTTAAATTTAATTAAAAGAAACATTTGCACATATATCTACTTTGTCCAAATCATGAATTTTTTTGTAAGTCATATTTTAAATAACAAAGAAGAATATGTGCTGGTTCATCGAACTACGAAGGTCCATTGTTAATTGTCAGTCATATTCTGTAACAGTTTACATTAAATTATTAAATATGTAGGCGTAGGCACATGTATTTCTAATTTTGATTTATTTTACTATAAATTATTTACGCAGATGAACGCACACGCAAGAACGAATGAAATTCCTAATCAGTTTGTTTGCACAATATAAGTGTTGTTAATTAAAATTATTTTTCATAAAAAGCTATGCTTTAAAAATAGATAGAAAAACCTGTACTATATCTATATATTTTATTCTAACTTGCACACACATTATTACCCACAATCACTGGGGCAGATAATTGAATTTAGACACATGGTTTCTGCGTGTATGGATGAAAGACATGATAGCGATAAGAGATCTTTTATTTTTAAAAGTATTATTAACTGTAGTGTACTTGTGTGAATAATGATAAACGATAGATTAACAAATGTTAATCAAACATATAAATATACACACAAATATACTGATACATCCATGCAAGCAAACATTATTATTGGCATGATAAAAGCGTAGATTTCTTTTTTTTTCTTTCCGTATGTGTGCGTATATGTGCGTGTGCGTGCACGCGCGTGCGTGTGTACATAAACAAAGATTGGTAAAATCCCAGAAAATCCCCATTTACTCATGTTGCAACCTGTATTGCAGCTTTAAATATACGTTTTGATTTCTACATAAAAGTGATATACTTTCACGCCCTAGCGTATGTAGTTACATGTTAAAAAGACAATAATGTTCAAATTTAAAACAAACAGAAAAAGTGTATTTTTATCTTATTTTATGCGTATGAAGTTTCGATTTTTTTGAGAGAACGGAATGAACATTGTCGATTAAAATTAGGGTCAGTTTTACTTTAAAATTAAAAAAAAAATCACTAAATGTTTAAAATTATAATTTATTCAAGATGTATAAAGAACCTGGAATACAAAGGTATCATAATTCAATAATTTTAATTTAAAGTTGGCTATTTAGCATAAACTACGATTTTATCTATAAATCTTAATCGATACATATTAACGATAGATTTTGATTAAAAAACAATTAACACAATTATTTTTGAACAAGATGACTAAAGTAAAAATACTCGTGTCTATACACTAACAGTTAGCGTGGACAATTTCATATAGTTGTGTTTAAATATGCACAACTAAAGTAAAGACATCATTTTTTTTCGTTTTGTCTGTCGTAACATCTTGTATCAAAATATCATTAACAACTTTTTTAAGAAGTGTCTTCTTCTTTTGCATGCATTCCGTGTCTTAAAAAGTTAATTTCGTTCTTTATCAACAGAGAACAGTGCAGGAAAAATTCCGATTAAATATAATTATCACTTGGACATCATAAATTTGTATGTATTCCATTCGAAAAGAAAAAAAAAAGCTACCTTAACAGATGAATTCATTTTTTATGGTAGAGAATGGGTTCTTGTTTCATACAGTGGCAGTTTCATTTTAGGACAAATTTGCAGGCTTCCAGATATATTTTTGGGCTGATCATTTATAGAAAATTTATCCTTACTTTGCCGAAAGGTAACTATTCACTTAAGATTGAGTTAGATAATTATCGTATATGCATCTTAGTTTTTTCAATAGATAGATATTTGATAACGATTAGAAATGAATACCATACGCACAAGGAGAATATGGCAAGTTCTCTGTCTGATCATTAAGGGATTACAAAAAGAATAACCGTTGGTCAAATCCTAAGACTTTCGGAAGTAAACTGGGCTGAGAAATTTTCAGCACCATCTCGTGCATTGATACATCAATATGACGTAAAGGGAAATGTACCGGTGATTAAACATCCAAAAGTGGTTTTATATATATATATATATATATATATATATATATATATATATATATATATATATATATATATATATATATATATATATATATATATATATATATATATATATATATATATATATATATATATATATATATATATACATACATATATATATATATATATAACGCATACATATATATATCTACACACACACACATATTAGATATTTATGTATTCATAAAGGTATATGTGTGAATTCAGTTGTGATGCGTCACATATACACATATACATATTATCACAAAACACACTACAAAATTTGGGCATGAAAGAAATACTCATAAAAATCCTAGAAGCTTAGATATATATATATATATATATATATATATATATATATATATATATATATATATATATATATATATATATATATATGATGCATCAGTTCTACTAATTCATCAATATATATCCATACATATATAACATGTTATTGCATACACATGCATTTAAATCACGGAAATCCAGAACAATGATATAGCTTCCGATGTGATTCAAACCCATATTCCGTTTCCACAGGAGCTTCTTATTTCATGTAGGAACACCATACGACGAGGCTATGCAAGCCACGATGTTAGGCGTGGGTATTGTAACTAATGTATATCTATTACGCACATGCACGCGTGCGCACACACATATACACACACATATATCGTCAAACAGGTAGAGATTTTATCTCATATATGCATGTGTTCAAGTTTGTGTGTGCGTGTACGCATATGCGCGTGTATGTGTGTACAGGCGCGCATAAACATTTCCTTTTTGCTTGGCGTACACTTATCAAATACACCAACTTTTGCAGAAACCAGTAAATGGTCATTCAAAGATAATGACAGTTCCTTATTTAAGTTCTTTACAAAATGAATTTTGGCGTCTTGTGTTCTCAATATGTCCTCTGCCAGCTCAGTATTGGGATTTTTTGACATTGAGAAAATATACAAATAAATAAAGCTCGGGATTATTGTAGTTTTGAGAAAACAATAAAATGATTTCTACTTAAAACTATATAATATTCTTATAAAATGAACCAGCAATTTTTATCTTTCTTAAAGTGAGTAAATAAATATTTTAATTCTGCTCAGTAAATGCATGGGTTTTGACCGCAATAAAAATATGATAGTTCACTACACAAACCGTATTTTACCAAGACTAAGAACAGTTTTACAGGTACTAACAGTTTTACTCTTTTACTTCTTTTTCTTTTTTGATCTAAAAACTGTCTTGATTCTAATCATACTGGTTACTTTATTATTATCTGCTGTTTCTGCAATAATTATTTGTACGTATAATGTTGTGGTACAATGCAGCAGATACTGCTACAGTTTACGTCACTTTTTTTCTAAATGTTATGTGGTGGACGCTGGGATTCCACCTGCCTCCTTCATGCCGCAAAACGTTACACTCTTAATGCCGCATTATTATTATCTTCTATACGACAAAGTTTCAAGTAGCAATAATTGTCACAACAGCTGATATTAGTAAAGTAAAAAATATCGTGACTACTACTACTACTGTTACGACACCTATAACAGGGGACATCTGGATAATATCAATCTGTCTCTTGAATAATTTTATGTGGATGAAGAAAACGTTTATTTTTTATGAAGTGGTTATGTGATTTGACAGACTGAGAGATGTAAATTGCAGATTATCTGATCAGCTGAGTAGCAGAGAAGGATGATAGATTACTATTGAGGTAGAGATAGTATTCTTGCTTAGATATCTGAGTTATTAATTGATTGATTCAAATGATATAGATCGAGAGTCATTTCCCTGATAATATAGTGATAGACAGATGAGCAGAATCCTAATCTGAAGCGTTTGAGAAAAAAAAAACGGATAAAAATCGAACGTTATGTGTCAAGTAAGATCTTGCTAAATATTATCAAATAATAAAAGTAATAATGATAGGAATAATGATTAATATTAGAATTTAATTGTTAATAATTATAATCAAAGTGATATTAAAATGTACCAACGGTTGTAGCAGCGTAACCATTGCAGAAAAGTGGAAGAAGGAGAGAAAGAAGAGAGATGAAAATCGATGAACAAGGTTAAAACAGCAACACGCGGCTATGAAGCAATTTATTGAACCAACGATATCTCCTCCAAGTCTCGGTATGTCCTTAGTGGTTTTCATCCTTCCCATTTCTTCCTATAATATTGATTTTTATCTATTTAATAAATAAATACTTGACACATTCTTGATCGCATCTGCGCGCGGGTGTGTGCGTAAAAATCCATGCCTGTATGGATGATGGAGTTATATGAACAAGCGTGAAACATAGTGTTACGGTGCATCTCTCGTCTCATTTATAACGATACAGCAGCAACAGCAACAAAAAACAATGGTAATAAATAGGGCGCCTACTGTTGTGTGATGGTTATTTCGTTAACCAATGCATGGGTATAGTGAATTAGATCTTCAAGGAATCCCCCACACTTGTGGCCATGTGAGCTAAGCTCAGTAAATAACATTATTATTATTATTATTAACTAGAAGAATCACAAGAAGAAAGATATTTTGGTTTAAGAATGATTGAGCATTATATAAACATGTGGACTTATATATATATATATATATATATATATATATATATATATATATATATATATATATATATATATATATATCCAGGCCCAAATCACCTTGGTGATCATGTCTATAAATGAAACATTTTGTTTTATTTATGAGAAGAAATAAACTGTCAACTTTAGCAACTTTGAGATGAATTCATTGAGTGTGATTGTACGCTTTTGAATTGTGTGCACATGTGAAAATAAGTGTAAATGCACACACACACACACACACACATACATGTGCCTACAAGTAAATTATATATACACTACACAGTATGTGCGGAATAAATCGCGTTTCACTACAAACTAGACTTG